TTTGTCCTTCTTTTTGTTGATGTGGTGGATGATGTTGATGGATTTTTGAATGTTGTACCATCCTTGCATCCCTGGGATGAATCCCACTTGGTCATGGTGTATGATCCTCTTGATGTATTTTTGAACTCAGTTTTCTAGTATTTTGTTGAGTATTTTTGCATCTATTTTCATCAGGGATATTGGTTTGTAATTTTCTTTTTTGGTGGGGTCTTTGCCTGGTGTTGGTATTAGGGTGATGCTGGCTTCATAGAATGAGTATGGAAGTATTCCCTCCTCTTCTATTTTTTGGAAAACTTAAAGGCAAATGGGTATTATGTCTTCTCTGTATGTCTGATAAAATTCCACAGTAAATCCATCTCTCCCTGGGGTTTTGCTCTTGGGTAGTTTTTTGATTACTGAATCAATTTCATTGCTGGTAATTGGTCTGCTTAGACTTTCTGTTTCTTGCTTGGACAGTCTTGGAAGGTTGTATTTTTCTAGGAAGTTGTCCACTTCTTCTAGATTTTCCAGCTTGTTAGCATATAGATTCTCATAGTATTCTCTAATGATTCTTTGTATTTCTGTGGGGTCCATCGTGATTTTTTTTCTTTCTCATTTCTGATTCTGTTAAATGTGTATATTCTCTTTTTCTCTTAATAAGTCTGGCTAGGGGCTTATCTATTTTGTTTATTTTCTTAACAAACCAGTTCTTGGTTTCATTGATTTTTTTTTATTGTTTGATTCTTCTCAATTTTATTTATTTCTTCTCTGATCTTTATTATGTCCCTCCTTCTGCTGACTTTGGGCTTCATTTGTTCTTCTTTTTCCAATTTCAATAATTGTGACTTTAGACTTTTCATTTGGGATTGTTCTTCCTTCTTTAAATAGGCTTGGATTCTTATATAATGTCCTCTTAGAACTACCTTTGCTGCTTCCCACAGAAATTCAGGCTTTGTGCTGTTGTTGTCTTTTGTCTTCATATATTGCTTAATCTCTATTTTAATTTGTTCATTGATCCATTGATTATTTAGAAGCATGTTGTTAAGCCTCCATGTGTTTGTGAGCCTTTTTGTTTTCTCTAGTTTTACAGTTTATTTCTAGTTTTATACCTTTGTGGTATGAAAAGTTAGTTGGTAGGATTGCAATCTTTTTGAATTTACTGAGGCTCTTTTTACTGAGCCTATTCTGGAAAATGTTCCATGTACACTTGAGAAGAATGTATATCCTGCTGCTTTTGTGTGTAGAGTTCTGTAGATGTCTATTAGGTCCATCTGTTCTAGTGTGTTGTTCAGTGCCTCTGTGTCCTTACTTATTTTCTGTCTGGTGGATCTGTCCTTTGGAGTGAGTGGTGTGTTGAAGTCTCCTAGAACAAATGCATTGCATTCTATTTCCTCCTTTAATTCTGTTAGTATTTGTTTCACATATGCTGTGTTCCTGTACTGGGTGCATATATATTCATAATGATTATATCCTCTTGCTGGACTGACTCCTTTATCATTATGTAATGTCCTTATTTATCTCTTGTTACTTTCTTTGTTTTGAAGTCTATTTTGTCTGATACTAGTACTACAACACCTGCTTTTTCTCCCTATTTTTTTATGAAATATCTTTTTCCTTCCCTTGATGTTCAGTCTGTGTATGTCTTTGGGTTTGAGGAGGGTCTCCTGTAAGCAGCATGTAGATGGGTCTAGCTTTTTTTATCCATTCTATTACTCTGTGTCTTTTGATTGGTGCATTTAGTCCATTTACATTTAGGGTGATTATTGAAAGATATGTACTTACTGCCATTGCAGGCCTTAAATTCGTCATTACCAAAGATTCAAAGGTAGCTTCTTTACTATCTAACTGTCTAACTGAACTCGCTTATTAAGCTATTATAAACACAGTCTAATGAATCTTTATTTCTCTCCCTTCTTGTTCCTCCTCCTCCATTCTTCACATGTTAGGTGTTTTATTCTGTACTCTTTTGTGTTTCCTTTGACTGCTTTTGTGGGTAGTTGATTTTATTTTTTGCCTTTAGTTAGTATTTGGTTGGTCTTCTTTCTTTGCTGTGATTTTATTTTCTCTGGTGACATCTATTTACCCTTAGAAGTGCTTCCATCTAGAGCAGTCCCTTTAAAATATCCTGTCAAGGTGGTTTGTGGGAGACAAATTCCCTCAACATCTGCTTGTCTGGGAATTGTTTAATCCCTCCTTCATATTTAAATGATAATCGTGCTGGATACAGTATTCTTGGTTCAAGGCCCTTCTGTTTCATTGCATTAAATATATCATGCCATTCTCTTCTGGCCTATAAGGTTTCTACTGCGAAGTCTGATGATAGCCTCATGGTTTTCCTTTGTAGGTGACCTGTTTCTCTCTCTGGTTGCTTTAATACTTTGTCCTTGTCCTTGATCTTTGCCATTTTAATTATTGTGTGTCTTGGTGTTATCTTCCTTGGGTCCTTTGTGTTAGGAGATCTGTGGGCTTCCATGGTCTGAGAGACTATTTCCTCCCCAGTTTGGGGAAGTTTTCAGTATTATTTCTTTAAATACACTTTCTACCACTTTTTCTCTCTCTTCTTCTTCTGACACCCTTATAATGTGGATATTGTTCTGTTTGGCTTGGTCACACAGTTCTCTCAATATTCTTTCATTCCTGAAGATCCTTTTATCTCTCTCTGCCTCAGCTTCTCTGTACTCCTGTTATCTGATTTCTATTCCATTAATGGCCTCTTGTACCTCATCCAGTCTGCTCTTAAGTCCTTCCAGAGATTGATTTATTTCTGTATTTTCCCTCCTGACTTGATCCTTTAGCTCTTGCATATTTCTCTGCAGGTTCATCAGCATGGTTATGTCCTTTATTTTGTATTCTTTTTGAGGAAGATTTATTAAATCTGATCCCCCCAAGCTCCCTCTTGGGGTTTGTCTGGGTAATTATGGACTGGATCAAATTCTTCTGCCTTTTCATGGTGATAGAGGTAGTTGTAGGCAGTTGGCATGTGTGTCAGCTACAAGAACAATGTCCCTTCCTGCACCTTGCCCTCCACTGCCTGTGCTGATTACCTGCATATGCAGAGCAGCTTCCAGTTTTTATTTCCTGAGCCACCATGGGTGGGGCAGCCATTGGGCAGTCCAGTGCCCTGTGGGGAGAGGCAGGTGTGCCAGCTGTGCTCTACTGCAAGAATGGTGACCCTTCATTCCCTGTCCTGGCTTCCTCTGCCTGTGCTGGGCTGCTGCGTGCCAGTGGGGCCTCTGAGTTTTGCTCGGGTGACTGCGGAGGAGGTTCTGGGCAGCTGCTGGGGGCCCGGCCACTCTCAGGCTGCTCCCCTGTTGTGGCAGGGCCTCATGGGGGTGGGAGGAATGGAAGGGAGGCTGTTTATTGCTGTGAGGGGCTTCAGAGCTGCGTTGCCTCCCAGGGGGCTGGGGTGCCTGAAATTCCCCGGGATTCCCAGTTGCTGGGCTGAGTGTGCCGCAAAGGTTCTCTCCAGCTGTGGAGTCCCTGTCCCTTTAAGAGTTTCAAAAAGCACTCACTTTTCTTTTGTCCCAGGGGCACTGGTAGTGGGGACCCACTTACAGGTTTTACTATTCTGTTTCCCTAATATCCATCACACCATGCAATGTGTGTCTGCGCTCCCAGTGCAGATTACCAGGGCTGGTTACTTAGCAGTCCTGCACTTCCACTCCCTCCCCACTCTGACTCCTCTCCTCCCACCAGTGGGCTGGGGTAGGGGGAGTGCTTGGGTCCCACCACCTGTCACTTGTGTCTTACCCCCTTCATGAGGTGCTGAGTTCTCGCAGATGTAGATGTAGTCTGACCATTGTACCATATCTTCTGGCCTCTCTTTTAGAAATAGTTGTATTTGCTGTATTTTTAAAAATATATATGGTTTGGGAGGAGATTTCCACTGCCCTACTCATGCCGCCATCTTGGCTCCTCCCTATAATTCCACTTTTTCCTAATATGTAGTTAATTTCTAAAAATTCAATTTTGTTATTCTGGGTCATATATCCCCCCAAAGTATATTTATCTATTTATTGTATTGTGCTTTTGTGATGATGTATTTATAGAAGCATTTAAATCTATGCATATGTACCTCAACTATATTTCTTTTTGCCTCTACACATAGATATATGTATAGAAAAACATTCATCTAATATTAATTGTGCTTATTTTTGTGGCTGTGAGATTTTAATAAAACATCTACTTGTGGATTTTTTTTGGTATTCTTTTTAATTGTTTAAATTACCTATGATGGGCATTTACTATTTTTCAGCATTTTTTTGCTCTCAAAACAATAAAAATATAAAAAATGAGAGAGTTTTCATTTAACAACTGTAATAATATAGATCAGAATTGTTTTAAAAGGATTTATATAATCACTCACTTTTATGGTAATTACTTGAAAGACAACTGTGGTCTTGCATCATATAAAGTGATAAGCTGTTTTTCAGTTACAAGTGACCAGATAATTATGCCCTGTCAAACCAGCATTTTCAACACAGATTCACTTAATAACAGTCCACTGTGAAGATGAAAGTTTTCGTGCTTTCAGAAGTCCTAACTCTGTTTAAGTAATTTGACAAATAGCATCTTTCTTCATTTTGTAGGGCCTTTTAGGGGTCAAATATCTAATCTTCATAAGTATTGATGAACCAGAACAGATCATGTCCCAAAAAAATCTGCACCCAAAGCAGACAGCTCACATCTGCCCTTGTGATTACAGTTAATCTCTTAGGGTTATAATTGAAAGATATGTGAAACTTACAGATCAAACCCAGAAATGAGAACACAAATGTAGTAAAAAGTATTTGTTTTTATTTTCCAGTATGCTTCATTAAAAAAGGTACAGTTTTATTAGTAGTACATGAATGAACTTAAAGATCAAAGTGACAAGTTTTTGTCACAGATATTAATTTACAATTTACAAACACCCACCAAAACAATTAAAAATGAAATAAATATATTTACATTTCATGTTTCTTGTATTTTCATTGCATTTTTAATATATATAAAATATATAACATTTATAATATTGTATTTATCTTCAAAAGAAACTTCAAATGTGCAAATAAGTGAATTATGATTTGAAAATATTAATGAATAAGAATAAACCATAAGCAAGAATTTTAGAGGTATGGATAAAGCAATTCCTTAAGAAGAGCTCATGTATATAGCGGTATTAAGTGTAGTAAAATGTTATTAATATCGGAACATATACACTTACCTTAAAAACTTAAGCACAAGATTATCCTTGTGATTTTAAAGCTTCTCCACACTGCTGATTTCTAGCAGTAATTCTAAATAATTGTTAGGATTATTATTTTTCCACAGCAATAAATCAAGCTTCTCTCATATCCAACATTGAATGTAGACAGTTTATAAACAAGCTTTGTTGTTGTGAGAGAAATGTCACTTTATAAATTAATGCACCCAGAGGAAAATTTATTTGCTTACATGGTTAATGTGAATTTGACCTTTTTTTTTTCCAAGAAATTACTTTCTTTCTTGCTGAGTGACAGTTTTGCAAGCACAGGCTTTAAAGCTATAAGTTGGTATATGCCTGAAAAATGGGCAAGAAATGATTAGCTGACTATTCTCTCTTAGAAATAGTGTTGGATGATAAATGTTGGAGTACACACTACACTTACATTATCTATTAAATTATTTAAAAATACTTATTGCAACATAAATTAAAAATGCCCCTCTTTAATATACTTCAATTAAATTAATTGTTTTTTTTTGTCAGGCAAAATACATTATTGTAGTAGTTAGGAAAGATTTCAAATGATTTTTGAACTCTGTTTTCTGACCTAAGTACCTATATATAATATTCCCTTTGAGCTTGCACCATGTACACTGCAGTGAATCATGTCAATACATACATATATATGTATGTGTACATATATATATGCATACATATATACGTGTAATGTATACACACACACACACACATACACACACATATGATATACCAAGGCACTAGAGGGTTAACATAATCAAGCATTCTGTTCTTAAAATGTGCTCTATACAAACTAGAATTTGATGAGTAAATCTCATGCATCTAAATCTAAATTACATGAGAAATAGAGATTTATCTTGTTTTTTTGTTCATTTCTAAATTTTCTCAAGTAGTCCAAATTATAACAGATGACAGTGGCTAATCATGGCATGCAAAATGAAATGTGAAATGCTATTCACTAGCTGATGAAAACTAGAAGAATATTAATTTTCTAATAGGTGTTTACTCCACTAATTGTTAGGCCTGTTGATATTTTAACAGTAGTATCAAAAATAAACACCATGTGGTATTATCACAAATTTTAATTCAAGCTATAATTTACAAAGTAAATTTAAATTACATTAAGCATATATATTTGAAATATATTCTCCTAATATAATTTGTGGTTAATGTTTTACTTTATATATACATATATGTATATGTGTGTGTGTGTGTGTATGCACATGTGTGCACAAGGATATATATACCCATACGTGCCTCATGTGTACCATCTTTTCTTCATCATAGACATAATAAGCACAGGCTAGAAGATCTTTATGATATAACAAAAAAGATATTTAATTAAATTGTCTTTTTGTTTTTAATATCCAGCTTTTACAAAATCTGACTTTTAAATGATTACATTACGCTTATATAAAGTTTTAAAACTTTTTTTTTGGCTAACTAGGCCATTTCCTGTTGTCTGTAGACCAGATTATCCCACTGTGGACAGAGAGATGTTACCCCAGTGTGGGGCACAATGAGGTATAGCTCCAGTTAGTAGCAGATAATGAACTGGCTACAACTGCTTAAAATCCTAAGGGAGATCTTCCCTCTACTCTTTTAAGTTCAGTCGTGTCCAACTGAAGCCTGCTTTTAGTAGTCTTCTAATTTTAGAATGATTGTTGTGTTTGACCAATACATAGTGAGCAATAATTCTAGTGTTAACCAAATTATGGATATGTATTTAGTTTTAGGATCAAAATAAATTATATTAAAACTGTTTTTTGTCCAATTTGCCACAGTTCTTTTAGTAAGGTGTCCTAGATATAACTTAACACTTATCCAGATACAATTATAATCCTTCACTTTTTCTTTTCAATATAATGCGCTTAAAAATTAATCAGATGTAAAATGAATAACACAATAATTATAGAAATGTTAATTTTTTAATTTTAATGATCATGTGCTCTTTTTATAAGTACTTTTGTTTCCTTCTTGAGTGACTATTTTTCTCCTATTTAAAAAATATAAAATAAAACCAAGTATTGATGCTTGGTCTTCTTCACAAGGAAATATCCAATTTGATTTAGTTTAGTTTGATTAATTTCAGAGAACATGTGTTAATACAAAGTAATTTTTATCTTTTAATAGGCAACTTGTTATTTAAAAGCAGCTCTCAGTAGTGTGGTAGTGAAGGACAGAGAATATTTCCACATTACACAAATAGTTATGAAATATCTGGGATCTGAACTATGTACACATACTTCCGATGCCTTTGAATTTCCAGCCTTTCACATTTACACTCCTAAGACAAGATATCTAAAATAACCTTAATAATTTGGCATTACATAATAACTTTTATGACATGGTAAGTTAGAAATTTTAAATTATATTTTCATATCTCACCTTATTTTCTCATAAAATATTACTAAAATGAAAACATTTCATTTACCTAACATAAGTAATAGTTTTGAGACTCCTTTCTAGGGACATTTCAGTCCAGGATTAACTGGTAAGGTTGGGATTACAAAGAATTATTTCTCATACTGCATTTATTGACATTATTTTCTTTATAGAAGTTTTTAGGGTCACTGAAGTTTATGAAACTTTAATTTGATAACAAACCCTGTTAGGTAACATAGAAATTTCCCTAAATGAAGGACAGAACAAAACATACATGAATGTTTCTTTCATTCATAATTAAATTAACACATTTTGGCATCTGTGTTTAACACTGGCAATGAGTAAATTATTTAGTAACAGTGATCCAAGGGAGAAATAGCCCATTTCACACTGTGTCTATCATAGGTCAATGTAATTATTATTTTGTAAATCTAAGAAATATTTTACAATAAGATAAACCAAGCTGGAGTGCCAGTGTCAAATCATGGAAAGAGAATACAGGGGGAAATCTACATGAGCAAATGAAAATGCATTCTTCTTTGATGAGATTTTTTGCATGCTAGTCCCCTTGATGCCATATGGTTTTTGCCTCCTTTATGTCACTTATACAATGATAGGGCATTAGTTCATGATCTGGCCCAACATGTATTTGGCATACAAAATAATCTAAATACAGAAATAACCATTTAACTGGTATTTTTATTTATAGGTAGCTTATAATTTTTATAGTATGTACATACTTCAAATCATTCTTTTGCCTCCACTTTAGATGAATGCAGGATACTGGTACAAATCAACTGAGCAAGAACATGCTGGTTCTGTTCATTTGGAATTATTCACAGCTGCCTTACAAAATAGAAATGCTTTTATGATCCCTTATGATAGTTCTCTCTGCTGAAATTTCAGTTTGACTTTACTGTTGATGTGGTGGTATCATTGTTTTTCTGAAGTCCATAGTAATGATATGTTTATTCTGTTTATACAGTTATGGCAAGTGGTGATGCACAGCCCTATGTCAAGTCGTGTATTTTCCTTTGCTTGTGGTAGCAGACGCAGCAGAAGCAGAAACAGCAGCCTGATTGCCTAAAAAGAGAGGGTCCAGACAAGCCACTTTGGCTGCAAAGAATGAATGAATGCAATGAAGAACAGCAAATAGATTTGAAAATTCCAGCTCCTGAAAAGGAAAGAGGCATGGGTCAAGCAAAATAACAATTTCCTTTCAGAAAACTGATAATAACTAGACAACTTGGCAATAGATAGACTTATTTTTCAAGTACAATAAACTTTACTAGAATGAATTACAGTTAATATATAGAACAGGTAGGGTTTTTTCTGTTCAATATGTAGATTTCATATGAATTGCAGATTTACTTCAAAACATTGTGGCCTAAGAGCTGAAAGGACTAAGCATTCTTATCATCTATAAAAACTATTTCAGTATTGATAAATGTTGCATAGAAATACACTTGGCCAGATTAAAATGTTATTTTTGATAAAGTATAAGAGAAACATTAGAGTAGCTTCAAAAGTATTTTATCTCTTTACACATACTTCAAATGATAAATGGGTTCAAATAGTTAAAAGATATTCTTTATTATTCTCTACAGTAAGTTACTATTTGTCATAGGACACTGAATATGAAATACTAAAAGCAAGAGAATAAGAATGTTTATGATGGTAATAACCAAATGCTTCAGTTCCAAAACATAATACATGAATTAATTTTAAATTTAAGGAACTTAAATTATTGCACTGGATTATTTAAATTGTTGTACTTGATTCTCAAAAAATTTCAACTAGGACACACTAATGTTTGGATTTTTAGAAATAGGTTTCCCATTTAGATACTTAAGGAAATTTGCAGCTCAAACACAAGTGGCAATCCAATGATATATATTGTAATGAAATAGAAAAATTCCTTCAAGCCACAAATGATGCCAGACTAGCTGTAAAATCCTGAGGTGAGCTCAGGATAGATTTTAAAAGCTGACATCACAAATATTTTATGGAAAGCTTCAAGTCTTGTAAAAATGTTTTAATTCCAACAGCGTCGAGAGATGAAAAAGTACATATATTTATGAAAACTAGATGATAAGCTTATCACAAAGATGATAACTACAGGGTGATAAACTAAATCAAATTATTGACAGAATTGTTGCTCTATATTGCATATTTGTAATAAAAGGTGAAGAATTACAATTGATGTGTATATTACTGATCTGTTTGCAATTTATACTATGTGGTAATGGAAAATAATACAAAGTATCCATTCAATTAGGTCATCTTAGGTCATCTTGTAATATCTGTAATGGGCTAGAGAACTATTTAAAGAAAATAATTCACGTTAGAAGTATTTTCATTCAATAGAAGTGCAATAAAGCACAACATAGATTCACTGTTCTGTACATCACATATAAAAGTAACTGTGCTGTCTCAGTAATTCCCTTCAAAACTTCAGTATTTCATAATCAGTTTCCTACAGCAATGTTGACTTGTTCTGGAAAACAGCAAAGACTTGATTTACTTATTCTAATTTCCTCAGTGCTCCCATTTATAAATGATTTTAGTTACTTCATCATAATTATTTCACAAACCACTTCAGTAGCACTATGATGTGTTATTGGTCAACAAACAGGCTTCACCATTCCTTGTGCAGCAAGTCTATATTACCTGCAAATTTTGAATACTTTCTAAGTGAGCCCACATTAACCCCATCACATATGAAAAGAGTGGGGAAGATTTGGAAAGTGTGAGATGGACTTGTATACTGTTAAACATTAAAAAGCAACAAAAACATGCAATTCACTCCTGAAGGGAGAATATTGCTAAATGTTGCAAATGTGCAATAATATAACAAATAACTTTTTTTCAAAAATAGTTCCATCATTTCTTTATTAAATTGGAATTCATGTATTAGCTATCAAAAATAAATATCTAAACATAAGGAAATTTTTGGAAAGATTAATATTTTCAATTATTTATACCTTGTCAATTTTATGTCAACTTTTTGGTATAAATTGTCACTTCAAAACATTTACACTTTTTTTTTCAGGGGAGCAAGTGTTAAGCAGGACATTATAGGTAAATAGAAAAAGCAGGAGTCAGAGATATGTTCAAGTCTCACCCTTGATTCCATTGTCAACTCATTTTTCCTCCACCTTAGTGGTGACCTTTAGCAATAATATCCACTCTTTGGGCTTCAATTATCACTTCTATACACACTGACATCACTTTTCTCCTCATTTCTAATGTGAATCCTAGAACTTTATGTCCATCTACTTACTGAGCATTCATGATGATATCCACCAAGTTCTTTACAATCACCTTGTAATACAGCTCTTTGGAAACCCAAGAATCTCACCAAGTAAAAATGAAATTTAAAAAATTAAAAATTAAAAATCTCTTCAGGAAGCGGAGCCAAGATGGCGGCGTGAGTAGAGCAGTGGAAATCTCCTCCCAAAACCACATATATTTATGAAAATATAACAAAGACAACTCTTCCTAGAATAGAGATAAGAGGACACAGGACAACATCCAGACCACATCCAGACATGCGAGAACTCAGTGCCTCGTGAAGGGGGTAAGATACAAGCCCCAGCCTGGCGAGTCCTGAGCGCACCTCCCCCCAACTCCCTGCGGGAGGAGAGGAGTCAGAGCCGGGAGGGAGAAGGGAGCCCAGGACTGCTGAACACCCAGATACAGCCATTGGACCAGAGTACAGACATAGTGCATGTGTGGGGTCCTGGATACTAGGGAAACAGGGCAGCAAAGTCAGTGAGTGGGTCCCTGAGGCTGGCACCTGAGGACAAAGAAAAGCGAGTGGCTTTTTCTTTTTTAATGATTTGTTTAATTTTTTTTTTTT